TATCTGAATGGAAAGTAGCAACGGCAAAAACTTTGTCCTTTTTATTACGGTATGGCATGAGATTATGGTGAAAACGATGAGTTTGTTGATGAGTTATGAAAGATGCAGCTGTTTTGAAAATTCACTTGTTATTGTGCAGAAGAAAACTTTAGTAGATTGTGGTCTAACTCGTTGCTATTTTTTGTTACTTTACAATTCTTGACAGTCGGCAAATCCACCGGTGTATGACGCATTGGCTCTCTTCTCCTTCTATTTTTTTCATAGTTGACCTTAACGACCTTTTGAAAATGGTTCTCAGGGGTTTCAATACACCCATGAGATAATGCTATCGTCGCTTATGGACGTGTTGGAGAGTTTTTTGGAAGTACTACTACCTGCCGTACTACTGCCTTTTTAACAAGGTGGTAGTACACTTTGGTTGAAAAGGTGTCAATAAATTAGACAGGGCAACATAGTCAGGTCATCTGGGAACGGGGCTTCTACTTGAGCGTTGTTTGACTTCCTCGCTGAAGATTCCGCGATCATATGTCATGAGAGTCATATTTAGCCTAGATAAATCTTGTTTCTCTAGTGATCTTCCTTCCCCGTAACTGGTATCGCTTTTTTACTGATAGCTGATCAAGTGCTTCTTTTTACACGTTCCCTTCCCCTCCTCCCCCCCCCCCCCTTCCTTCGAAAAATGTCGGGAGGGGGGTGTTATTTTTGAAATACAACTCATCGAGATGATTTACCCAGTCCAGAGTTGCAAATCTGGCACATGTCAACGGCAAGTACTCTAAGTCTACAGATTTGTAAGCGGTTTCTTACTTTGCGGGATCTCCTCATGAGAATGATTATTGCGGCTCGAAAGGGGTGTTTGACTTGAGGAAGCAGAGGGGCATTTGCACTTTCATTAGTTTGCTTTGCTAGTTGGTGTACCAACAGGCTCATTTGTTGAAGTGGATGGTGCGAGGACAGGAGGTCCCTTATCTTAAAGACAGCCCCCGCGCTCAAGTAGTACATGGTTGTCGTTGCTTGTGCAAGTAAGTTAGAGACTGCCCCACTGTCGCCACTCCACAGCGAGCGAGTTACAGCCGCTGAAGGTGCTAGTACTAACGCCCACTCAGTTGGACCGCCCACTTGCTAGATGCCCTCTGACGGAGGGCCATTTAGTTGTTCTTTGTTGGGGCGGCGGGCATTAATCGGAATCGCATGTACTTTTTGCTGACCGTGCCCATGAATAATTTTGATCTCCTTTATCACATTTTATTCATTGGGAGCAAATGCACTCAACTGCAGCCCATATCGCAAGGTAAAACGCCTAGAAATCACGAGCGATCCAATTCTCGTGGTGCAAAAGCTCGACGCACTACACTACACTAAATGATGCACGCTACCGTAACCCTAAATTCCGAAACCGAGTTTTTAGAAAATTTCTTTTCCTTTTCAAGAGTTTTTTCCGTGTTTTCGTTGTTTTCCGTATTATTTTCTTTACATTAGATGATATCCACTACTGGGAGATGTGATAAAGGGATTTGCGAGCCAGGGGTTGCATAGCGACCGCAGCGCGGTGTGACTGTCAGGGAGCACTTTTGTTTGTGTCTTGAGTCTGTCTTGAATTTTGTCTTGAGAACTCGTCTTGCTTTTTTTCTCTTCTTTGCGGAATTACTCACCAGCTACTGTTTCATAATAGAAAAGCAATTATCCATGACACTTTTATCGCTGTATTTAAGTTGCGTGTATTTAAGGTCCGGAAGCTTTCGCATATCATGCAGCATGGCCGCCTCGTAAATATAGCGAATTTCAGCGTGTACACTGCGGCATCAGTAATAAAGGTATGGTACTTTTCAGCACAAGACCACTCTTATAACAGCATCCCTTCCTTTAATTCATTTGTTTCTTTAATATTCTTTGTTACACAATCTCTCATTCTAATCTTTGTTCAGAAGTTTCTGTCAAAATTACCTGGTGGTATTTTTGGTGTAGAAAATGAGCAAGTGCTCTTCAACAGCACTCTGCAAAAACACAGATCTGGATAAGCAGCGTCAGGTGTTTTACAGGTTTGTAATAATATCTTGAGGATTTTCTTTTCTCTCAAGTTTTTTTATCATGCTTTTTTCCGTACTGCTCATAGATAAGGAGAGAGTTCTATGATTGGATATATTTTTCCCATGATTTTACGCTCTGGTGTTGGAGGAGGAAGAAGCTTGACTTGGTAATGTTCCACAAAATAATCCACGGCCGTACTGGTCTTACTCCTGGATCGTTCTACACTGTGAGATCCTCAGTTACCAGGGGTGGTGCAATCAAATTGGTTAGGCCAGCAGCTAGATTCAATGTTCGCGTTCACTTTTTTGCTGTGCATACAAGCGTATTATACTCAACACTGAGCAAAAAGATATCTATTCCCACCAACAGTCAAACCTTTAGCAAGTTATCGATTGCTACCTGGATAAATGATGATTTGTTCTCTTATACCTTCTCTTTAACGGTTTTCCCTTCTTATTTTGATAACATTTACACATTTTAGAAACTTTTTTGTGGTATTATTGTTTTTCCCCGTGCGGGACTTTCTCGGATGTTCTGTTTCATTGTTTGTAGGCTGATGTGTAGCCACATGAGTTCGCTCATGTAATAAATGATGATGATGATGGTGCTGGTTAACTGGAGTATAATTAGTCCCACTTGGTGAAGCAGTAGTATCTTTAGTATCTTTCACATTCTTTTTATTTATATCGTGCTGGACCACCTTAGACGGCGGACGCTGACGTTCGCTAAATCGATATCTATGCTCTCCTAGTCGCTGGCCCTGGCATTCGCTTGAACGCTGGCGTTCGCTGGTGGATATCATCGAAGTATGAACGCAGTCTTATGAATCTATGTAATAGACTAGGATCCTGTGATGACTTGTGTCCATGTAATGATAGTTTCTGAAACCAGGTTCATTCTTGGAACGTCCACCGGTGATTAGCTACGCATAGTTTTTCGCATTTAGACAACCTTGAGACCAAAAATGAAGGTTAGATCATTGCCTTTTTGATGAATGGGTGCTCCCGTATCCTTCTAATGGGATGAGCCTCGGCGACCCTTTAAAAATTTTGGGAATCAGACAGGGGTATGTGACAAGGAATCGTAATTCGCCGCGCTGGTGGGCGTGCGACGTCGTACCGCAAATGACGATGGTTCCAGGTAGTAGATGGCGACAACAGGCAATTCAGAACCGAAAATAGTCATGAATGTCTACGATGACGGGGTCTACATGAAGTCCGGTGCTCCAATCGACAGGTTAACACGAGTTAAGAAAACGCCGCGCCCATCGCCGCGCGCGGCGGAGCGGCAAATTACGATTCTCTTGCCCGTCTCTCGTCAGACAGACTAGTTGGAAACAACCAGCTGCGATCATTGTGCGAGGTCTTGAATTTCTTTTGAATCTCGCGAGGTCTCTTATCGTGATAAAAGGATAAAGTCTTCGCCGTTGATCAATCCCTTTGTGGGATGCGGCACGCATTCTACTTCCATTCAGAATCGTAGTGGCTTATTGAATGCGATGTGGCCTATACAATGACTTGCGGGGGCCAGCCGATGTACAAATCACTTGCGGGGGCCAGCCGATGTACAAGTCAGTGTTTTATCCTCCCAGACGAATCTGGTACCAATTTACCGTCCCCGGAGGTAGAAGGCTTGGTTGGCCTGGGCGGGAGTCGACCCGGGATTTGAACCCAGGACCGCGCGAGTGGTAAGCGCGCCACTTGTCACTACACCACCTCCGCCTCCCTTATCGTGATAGTTCACGCATAACATTTATCCGCTTACCAAAAAGGGTATTTTGGTATTTATTTTGAGGTTACTCTAACCACGTCATTTATATAGTTTCACCTCTGATGATAAAATCGCGATAGTCACATCGTCTATATTATAATATAATGTAAGTAAACCATTACAGTAGTAAATCATAATATAAAGCTGCATTGGAGCTGTTATATGGGTCAAGAACTGAGAAGTATTCCTATCAGAGGCTCTCCCGTTTGGAAACAGAGAGCAAGGGCCGTCCTGGTGTTGAGAGAAGTCAACAAAATACGACATCACGACTCCTCCCTGTGCGCCAAGGCTGTGGGGAGAGGTAGCGCTCGAAACGGGACAAATCAACAATTAGAGCTGCTTCCCTCGCGCCAAGTACGACACATCATCTACGCTAAAAAAATTAATGATATTTCCGAGTAAAGATTAAAAGCTTCAGTGAATGACCAACGTGCAGGAGCCTTTCACTGGGCTAGGTAGCGCGATCCACAAGCGCCGAATATGTACCCACTTTGTTGTGCTCTAATTACTAGAAGGCGGCAAGGCCATGTCACGCTTCCTCCTCTCCGTCCATTCGTTTATGATCTCCACCCTTATCATTTAGAATTCCGCTTGCCACATAATCTATCGCTCTGAGATTATTAGTTGTGCATAAGTTTTTTCCCCTGTTTGATCCTTCCGTGATTTGGTTTGAGAATGGATGTCGGTATTTCGTCATCACGTGTGCGTGACTTGTACATGATAAACTTTCACCGCACTAGCTATCACTCACCCACCCTGCATTTGCAGGCTACAATGCCGCACAATTACCAGTGCAAAACCATGTCAGAGTGGTGATTGTGCGGCATTGTGGCCTTCTTCGGGTCCCAGCCCCTTCTGGGACGATGGAATCGACAAGCTGCCTGAGCGTCGAGTAGTGGATGGTGATGGTGCATACCTCTAATCTTCAGGCTGGTTCGCTATTGAGATATTTACAAAAAAGTCGGGGGAAAGAACTTATGCAACAACCTAATATATCAAGCACAAAACGGTCGTCAGCGATATTCAGTGTTATTTACAGTTAATTTACGTTTATAGTATTAGGCAGTATTTTCTTTATTCTGAAGTTGTCATGTGATTACAGGATTTTCTGTTCTCTCCCTGTGCCTTCACAACACCTTCTTGTGCTGTTATTCGGCACATTTCGAACGGTTGCTGATTCTTCTGAAACCTATAATACAAAGATGAATCCTGATGCGATTGCGATATCTGTGGCTCCTTCTCTTTTCCATTCGTGTATACATGATGGAAGACAGGTACGTACACTTCATAAACCTTCTACTGGAGTAACTTAAGTTGAATTGTTGCCTTATTACGGCTTGAATTTGAAAAAAGATATTGGTCTTAAATACTGTTCCGACGGAAATTTTGTTATATAGTGGCTCCCCTCGACCAGTGCCACTAGAATTCAACTTTCATTCACAACTGTAAAGGTTTGCGGATGTATATGTGTCCTGCGCAATGCCTTGTGGTACCTAGGCAATGTACGAGTTAGCACAAAAATTCTGAGTGATGGGCAAAAGTCAGACCCCATGCGGGACTCGGACCCGTTTATCCAGCTGACCAGGCGAATACGCTACTACGCCTCTTTTACTTGTCCTGACCCTCTCAGCCCATCGAATTTTGTCCCATAGCCTTACAGCATTCACAAGACTTCGCACAAGGAATGCTTCTTTAGCCAACTTGCGCTTAGCGCTGCCATCCTGATCCTAAGGAATGAGCCGATTTTGCGGTTGCAGCACTGCTGTTTTCACTGTCGTAGGACCTCCTGACATATTG